CTCCCTTGCCAAGACTTTCCCACCTTCTGCCATCTATTCACACAATGTCGTCAGTTAGCTGACTTGCTGATTTCTTCTGTCCGATTTGCCTTCGATATATCCCGTGAGTATCAAATTCTCCAAACCATCCTTCCTCATTATGTGGCTCCACTTTTTTAATCTGAGTATAAGTTCTTTTTGTTGCCGTTTTTGCTTTAAGTTTTCTTTGTTCCTTACATGATCAGTCTATGGAATTCTAAGCATCCTTTTAGAGAAATCGCAATTCTTTTGCATCCAATGTGCAGCATTCACTGTCATATGAGAGGATTAATATTGCATACCAGTTCAGCTCTCTTTTGTTTGTTTCTATCGAAAAATTCCTATTTCTTACTCCTTTCCTTCACTTTTGCAATGCATCTTTTCCTTTTATCCTCCCAATATGCGTACTTCGGATCACGGTGTCACATTTTCCATCCTTTGTTAAAACGCTTCCGAGACATTGAGACTTCTGTATCTGTCTTCAGTTCGTAGTTCAACAACGAGAATAGGAATTACAAAACAAGCACCTAACAAAACACACTTGCATTCCTTTGTGTTGTGAAGCCTGGCTAACCGTGTCAGCGGCTCCACCGTTTGGGTTACAAGAAATATACGTCTTACAGAAAATAAAATTTCTTTAAAAATTACACTCGGCGCCATTTTTTGTTTTGCTTTTACGTACAAGAATATTATCATTAATAGTAATATTAACGTAGTACTTATTTTTATACGTCCCAGGTAAAATGGTAAACTACATCCAACAGCAAGGCCTGTGATCAGGAGGTTTTGAGGAGCGTGGAACCACCTCTTAATTGCTGGTGTTCCCAGGTCCACCCTGACCCGGGGTGATAGCACCTGCTAGGGTCCCAGCTATCGGCAAATAGTTAACCCCGGAACTGAGGTAAAAAGCATTATAAAAGTGTAAGAAAAGGTTTTAATACCAGAAATACTTTGTAAAAAATTACTACCAAAAATAAATTTTTGAAAAAAAAAAAATTACCAGCAATACGTTTTTGAAAAAATAATATTACCAGCTATATATTTTTTAGGAAAAAAATATTAACAGAAATAGATTTTTGATAAAACAAAAATATTACCAGGAAAAAAAAAAGTTGTCGGCATTAAATGACCCATTGAAGTTGATATGCCGTAAAACAAAACAAACCAAACCAAACCTTATTTTTATAAGACGAAACATTGTAAACATTATTACATTTTTAAGATGTACTTCCTTCATTTCAGCTTTAGTTGCTATTAGTCACAAACGCGAGTCTGTGGTTACGAGCAAACAGCAACTAAAATTAAATTTAAGGAAAAACGAATAAAAATAAGAATGGCTGACATTTCTTCATTTAATAAAATTAAGGATGGTGTTAATATTAATAATAGTCTTATACGCATCGGTCGTTTTAAAGTTGATTTCGAGCAAGTAAACATTTAATGTGTATATATTTTATTCAGTGCTTTCGCTTACTTTTTTTCAGCCGTTCTTTTTTCTACATTTCTTTCTCCATTTATTGGGTCGTCTGCTTATAATTCATTTAACGTCCTTTCATTGTTTCGTTTCTTTGCTTCTATTTTTCTTTCATTTTTTCATTATTTGGATTTTCTTCAATCATTGATGTCTTCTTTCTTTTTTCTTTAATTCTTTATTGAATGTTATTCTTAGAATAATTCCTAATTCATTTTTTCGTTCTGTTTTCTTTCTTTCTTTTATTGTTTTCTTCGTCTGCTTTTGTCTTTCTTTTTCATTCTTATTTTTCTTTTCTGTTCTTTTTTGTTTGTTTGATTTCATTCTCATTTTCTTCAATTCCTTTGTTTTATGTTTTTTTTCTTCTTTTCTTCACTATTGAATATTTAGTTTCTTTTCATCCATTCGTTCATTTACCTTTTGTCTTTCTTTTTCATTTTCTTTTTTGTTTTCAGACTCATTTTCTTCAAAGCATTTTTGTCATCATCTTTCCTCTTTTTTCCCCATATTTGACTTTTTTTTATTCTTTTCTTCCTTTACCATTTCATTCTGTTTTTCTTTCTTTTTCTTTTTCTTTCTCACGGATTTTCAGTCTCATTTTCTTCTACTCTTTTGCCTTATCATCTTTTCCCTTTTTCTCCCTATCTGATTTTCTCCTTTTTTTTCTCCTTTCTTTTTCTCCTTTCTTTCTCCTTTTCATTCTTTCTCTCTTTCTTTCTTTTTTATTTTTTTCTTCCTCCCTTACTCCTAATACTTTGTCTTGTCATCTTTTCGATTTTGTCTCCCTATTACATATTTTTCTTTCTTTTCTTTCTTTTTCTTTCTCTTTTTACTTCTATGTTCTTTTTCTTTTTCTTTTTTTTCTGCCACCCTTTCTTCTAACCCTCTATCATCATCTTTTTCTCCTCCTTTTCTCCCTATTGTATTTTCTATTTCTTTTAATTTGTTCTTTCCTTTTCTTTCTTTCTTGTTCCCTTGTCTTCCCATTTTATTATTTTTCCTGTTTTTTCTCTTTCACATTTTTCTTTCTTTTTTTTGCCTTTTCTTTTTCTTTTCTTATTTCTTTCCTACAGCCTATATTTCAGAATTCTTGTTTGTTTTGTGTTGCTTTTTTTTGTTTTAATTTTCTTTCATTCTTTTCTCACTTTATTGAATTTTCTGCTTTTCTTTCTTTCTTTTTCTTATTCTTTCTTTCTTTCTTTCTTTCTTTCTTTCTTTCTTTTTTACCCTTTTTATAGATATTCAGTTTACCATCATTCTTTCTTTGCATTCTTCTTGTATATATTCTTTCAATTTTTTCTTTCATTCGATCTTTTTTCTTTTCTTCTACTCTCCATTCATTTGATTTTCTGTTTTCTGTTATTCTTTCTTTCTTTCTTTCTTTCTTTCTTTCTTTCTTTCTTTCTTTTCTTTTCTTTCTTTCTTTCTTTCTTTCTTTCTTTTAACTCTTTCTTTTTCTTTCTTTCTTTCTTTCTTTCTTTTCTTTTCCATTTCTTTCTTTCTTTCTTTCTTTCTTTCTTTTTCTTTCCATTTTTCTTTCTTTTTTCTTTTCTTTCTTTCTTTCTTTCTTTCTTTCTTTCTTTCTTTTTCTCTTTCACTTTTCTTTCTTTCCATTTCTTTCTTTCTTTCTTTCTTTCTTTCTTTCTTTCTTTCTTTCTTTCTTTCTTTCTTTCTTTCTTTCTTAACACTCCACTGTTTCTTTCTTTCCATTTCTTTCTTTCTTTCTTTCTTTCTTTCTTTTCTTTCTTTCTTTCTTTTTTCTTTCTTTCTTTCTTTCTTTCTTTCTTTCTTTCTTTCTTTCTTTCTTAACTTTCTTTCCTTTCCTGTTTCTTTCTTTCTTTTCTTTCTTTCTTTTCTTTCTTTCTTTCTTTCTTTCTTTCTTTCTTTCTTTCTTTCTTTTCTTTCTTTCTTTCTTTCTTTCTTTCTTTCCTTTTTTTTTCTTTCTTTTTTTCTTTCTTTTTTCATTTCTTTCTTTTTTCTTTCTTTCTTTTCTTTCTTTCTTTCTTTCTTTCTTTCTTTCTTTCTTAACTCCACTGTTTCTTTCTTTCCCATTTCTTTCTTTCTTTCCATTTCTTTTCTTTCTTTCTTTCTTTCTTTTCTTTCTTAACACTCCACTGTTTTCTTTCTTTTTTTTTCTTTCTTTCTTTCTTTCTTTCTTTTCTTTCTTTCTTTCTTTCTTTCTTTCTTAACTCCATTCTTTCCTTTTCCATTTTCTTTCTTTCTTTTTTCTTTCTTTCTTTCTTGCTTTTTTCTTTCTTTCTTTCTTTCTTTCTTTCTTTTTCTTTCTTTTTTTTTCTTTCTTTGTTCCTTTTTCTTTCTTTCCATTTCCATTTTTCTTTCTTTCTTTCTTTCTTTCTTTCTTTCTTTCTTTCTTTCTTTCTTTCTTAACACTCCACTGTTTCTTTCTTTCCATTTTTTTCCTTCTTAACATTCCCTTCTTTCTTTCTTTTTTTTATTGGATAGTCTTTCTTTTTGCTTTCTTCGTTTTATATTTTTCTTTCTTTCTGACTTTTTGTTTTATCTTCTTTACCTTTCTTTCTTCATTAGCGTCTCTTGACCATTTTTTCTTTCTTTCTCTCACTCTTTCTTTCTTTCTTTCTTTTGCTTTCCTTCCTTCTTTTGCTTTCTTTCTTTCTTTCTTTCTTTCTAAAACCCTATATTTGTCTATTCTTTCTTTTTTCCTTTTATTGTCTTTCATTCTCTTTCTTCTTTTCCGTTTCTTCTTTTCTCTTTTTTCTTTCTTTCGTTCTTGCAGCATTTATTTTTTAACTTCTTTCATTCTTTACTTTTCTAATATGCATATTTTTTCTTCTTTTCGCTCGTTACTGAAGTTTTGGCATCTTATATTGTTTCTTCCTCTCTATTTTCCTTTCCTTCTTTCTTTCCTTTTATCCTTCTTCCTTATTTTTCTCTTCTTAACCTTAATATGGCGTCAGAAGAGACACACAATTGAAAATACTCTTTCTCCGTATTTATTATTTACTTCGGCGATGTCAGTAGTTCGGAGATCGGATGATTTCTGCAAATATTAATACAAATGCAAATATACACAACTTCTTCATGCCTGTTACTAAACTCTGAGAGTGAGCATCTTTAAATGCAAGCAAAATATGGGTATTTTATAACGTATCAATAGACATAATACTACTTGTGTTCACACACGCAAATACCTAATACTAATACATATACATCTATATATATAAATATATATATATATATATATATATATATCGATAGATAAATAGATAGATAGATAGATAAATAGATAGATACATACATACATACATACATACATACATACATACATACATACATACATACGTAGAGAGATACATAGACAGATTAGATTGAAAACACATAAATTAATTGATAAAAAATTACAGAAATAGATAGATAGATAGATAGATAGATAGATAGATAGATAGATAGATAGATAGATATAAATATATGGATACATACATACATACATACATACGTAGAGAGATACATAGATTAGATTGAAAACAGAAATTTATTGATAGAAAATTACAGAAATAGATAGATAGATAGATAGATAGATAGATAGATAGATAGATAGATAGATAGATAGATAGATCTCACCAGACTGAACTAGATAGATAGATAGATAGATAGATAGATAGATAGATAGATAGATAGATAGATAGATAGATAGATGTGAGGTGTTTGTGTGTGTAAACACAAGTATTATTATCTCTATTGATACGCTACTACATCAATCAGTTGATACCAGAGAGTTTAATAGGATTAGCCATTGTAGCCAGACAAAAAAACCCAACCCAACCTTACATGACTCCAAAAACTTGACATACCACAAACACCCCTACTTCTATCAAAGCAGTGACCTCTTGATAAAGAAAAAAAACCCAGGCCACGCCTCCATTCAAAACAATAAATGAGTAAAACATTCTATACCATAGTTATTCCAAAACAAGTCTTGATGAAACTGCCACCCAGTGATTAACGTTTAATATTGAAATTGAACTTAAATACTGTTAACCTGGAATCATATTTTTTTAAATAATAATTTAGATAGATAGATAGATAGATAGATAGATAGATAGATAGATAGATAGATAGATATGATAGGTCAAGTGAGACGTGAATCCCTCGAGAAATGAAAAGATTGGTCAATGGGTTTCAATTCACCTAAATTTTACTAGTAGATAGATAGATAGATAGATAGATAGATAGATAGATAGATAGATAGATATGAACAATGAAGTATATAGATAGATAGATAGATAGATAGATAGATATGAACAATGAAGTAGATATGAACAATGAAGTAGATAGATAGATAGATAGATAGATAGATAGATAGATAGATAGATAGATAGATATGAACAATGAAGATAGATAGATAGATAGATAGATAGATAGAATGATGAATAGATATGAACAATGAAGTAGATAGATAGATAGATATGAACAATGAAGTAGATAGATAGATAGATAGATAGATAGATAGATAGATAGATAGATAGATATGAACAATGAAGTAGATAGATAGATAGATAGATAGATAGATAGATAGATAGATAGATAAAATGAGCATATATTATTAAAAAAACACCCCAAACTTAGTACACAAAGAAATTTTATCATCAAATTTTTTTTGTTTTTTTATTAAGATGAAAGACGAAAGGATTGTTCGATTATTAAATTTTATTTTTAATCATTTTAAGACCCTTCTAAATTTTGTTTAAAATTTTTTCTTGGCTCCGCTCCTGATCATAAAATAGTATTGGAAATCTTAGCGTGTTTTTTGCGGTAAAAAAAACATTGAAATTTTTGCAAAATCAAATAGCTATTTTAATGAATCTTTCAGAACTTATTCACAAATTAATGAAATTATTTTAGAAATGTTTCTTTCTTAGAAAATCTTAATTTTTTTTTTTTTACATCTATTAACCACACTAATTTAATTTTATGAAATTTTGAGAAATTCATTTTTGTAAAGCTTAAATGTTTATATTAGTTATAAGCAGAACTCTTTTGGAGAATTTAAATCTTCAGTTTAAAAAACAACAGGAATCACAGTTACCAAAAATTTACCCTGAATCATAGAAGAAAAATGCAATAAAACTAAGACATTATTAATTAGAAATTCTTTTACTTTCTTATATGAATAAGATATAATTATGAACACTGTTGACTTGAGAAAAATATTTTTCGATGAATAATGAATTTTTGCAAGAATTGTTAACATTTAAAAAAAAATTCCCATAGTTTATAAAGTTTTAAATCTCTTAAAATTCTGTAATAAATTGTACCGGTAAGATGATATTATTATTAAGTAAAAACTAATCCTAAATGAAAAAGCTTAATATAATTCAGCGACCGCCAGTATTTTAAAAATAATTTTTAAGTATATATGTGTCTATTATCGTGCTGATTTTTGGAAATACGAACATTCATATATGACATTATCAGAAAATAAGAGCTTTAACTATAGTAAATTTAAAGCCAATGTACTAAAATTCAATAAAACATTAGATTATTTAAAATATTTTTTTAAATTTTAAAGATTACTAGGCAGTTAAAAAATTATATGAAAAAGACTCTCACGTTATATTCGTCAAGTAATTTTTTTATAGATATGTCCCCCGTAGAAAAAGTTCTGAAACAAAAGTTTATCGAGATAGTTATCAACAGCTCATAAAAACACCAATCTCCATGTTCAGAAATTTTTTTTGCGATATTTTAAACTAAAATTATGTAATATTTGTTCCAATTCGGAAAAGTATATTTCATCTTTGAAAAATTAATTAATAAAGAGAATTACGTTGTACTTAGAGAATTGTAAATATGGCTAGAAAAAAAAACTCATTTAAGATTTTCCATTTTTTAAAATTCATTTTAAACCATTTCTTCCAACACACACACACACACACACACACACACACACACACACACATATATATATATATATATATATATAATAGAAGAAAAAACGCAAACGTTTTTGGTTATAATGTGGATTTTTAAATATATGTTATACTTTTTTTTATATATATATATATATATATATATATATATATATAGATAGATAGATAGATAGATAGATAGATAGATATAGCCATCAACAGACAGACTGTTTCGCTGTATCACAGCTCCTCAGTGTGGCTAGACGTCCGATTGCTTCACGCAATGTGTATATATATATATAGTTTTTAAAAAACAAGGAAACCATTGATTTTAATTTTAAAAGTCTCTAGGACCCTTTCAGCCAACATCTCATCAGGAGACAATCGTTGGATTAGCGAAAAGAATATTAACGATATATATATATATATATATATGTATATATATATATATATATATATAAATAATCTGTTTTGCTTAAACGTTATTTAAAAATAGATACTTATATTCGAGTAAATGCTTTAAGTAAACAGTATTTATATTTAATTACATATACCGGCTTGAATATTCGAGAAAGAAAATATGCGTCCTCTGGCAGGATTTGAACCTGTAATATATATATATATATATATATATATATATATATATATATATATATATATATATATATATATATATATATATATATATATATATATATATATATATATATATATATATATATATATATATATATATATATATATATATAGAGAGAGAGAGAAAGAGAGAGAGATACAAAGACTCAGACTGTCAGATATAGGTATATAGATATATTTTTTATTGTTTTCATTAAAACAATAGTGGTACAAGGCCAAATGCGAAATGGAGAAAGACTGTTCGACACTTTCTATCCTAGACCAAGCTAATCTGATTCACGACACATTCATTCATTACAGTTTGCTCATTCACCACAAAAAAAACCCCATCCCTCACCATTCAATACTGCATATACCAAAAATATCACAAATTCACAGGAAACCTAAAAAAAGCTATGACATATAACTTAAATATGTGCAAATAGTTCAAATGTCTCTTTTACACATGTTTTATATATACAAATATACGCTCAAGAAATGAGAAGGCGGGGGGGACAGCCCAGGAAACTAAACTGTAGTATGACAAAACGTTCAAACGAGACATAACATTTATTAGTCGGATTCAACCACCCCACACAAATAATAAGAGTGGCCGCTCTGTTCTGCCTTTAGAAGCACACTCACTAACGGATGGGGAAGGATATATATATATATATATATATATATATATATATATATATATATATATATATATGTGTGTGTGTGTGTGTGTGTGTATATGAGATAATGATATCTATATTTTATATATCGAGAAAAATATTGGCGATAAATGTATGACAAAGTGTAAAAAGCTTTTGTGTCACGCGTTTCGTCGCTTGTCCAACGAAAAACTATACACAGTCTTATATATAAAAATTCTCAGAATTAATCTGTAGAAAATAACAGTATATATATATATGGGGTGAAACGGATTGTGTTTCTTTTGCTGCTAGCCACAGCTAAAATGGTGATTTGGGCGACGCGAATGGACGAAATCCTGCAATGTGATCGCTACTCTCATAAGTATCTGATCAGATTGACAGAATCTGATCAGAATGAAGATTGTATTGATAGAAAGCATTTGGTATTGACAGATTTCAGCGAAAGGTGGGCAACTGCAGGGACCCTGGTTCGCATAAACGGGGTTAGCTTTGATTTTCTTTTTTAAGTCCCCCTAAGTCACAATTGGGCGGTTTCATGTAGGGCGTCCCTCTGGTTTAGGTACCTTAACCTTCATTTGAGAAGACACCAGAAGTGTTGAAACAAAATGGCTATTTTTGTAGTGATGTTATAACATGTTTATGTTATAATTTTTGAATAAATAATATTTGGTCTATTCTGTATTGAGAACTCTTTTAAGAATACTGGAAATTTATTCCGTCTACACCAATACTATACTTGAATACACACACACACACACACACACACACACACACATATATATATATATATATATATATATATATATATATATATATATATATGTGTGTGTGTGTGTGTGTGTGTGTATATTATAAAAAAAAAGCAGACCACTTTAAAGGCTCCATTGTAATAGTTTATTTCATCATCCAGAGACCTTTTTTTTAAATACCTGGATCATCCTCTTGGGAGACATATGGATTACCAAGTTTTTTGATGATCTAGGTACATATAAATTTTAAAAAAAGGTCAGACATCACTTGATGATCTAGGGTTTTTTAAAAAAAAGAAATAAACTATTACAATGGAAGTGGTTTTATTAGCTCTGAATTTAAAGTGGTTTACCAAGTTTTTTTAAATATACATATATTTAAATTATTAGCTCTGAATTTACATTGAGCTCTCACCGGGGATTTCATCCTCCTTGGGACTTCCTTGATGATCTAGGGATTACCAAGTTTTTCGTAACTTAAATATACCTTATATATATATATATATATGTATGTGTGTGTGTGTGTGTGTGTGTGTGTGTGTGTGTGTGTGTGTGTGTGTGACTGTGTATAATTTTTTAAATATTTGGAATACGAGTGAATACGACATTTTCTCGTAATGACCAAAATCCTATTCAAGAATCATCCGATGATTGTTCATTTGGTTCGAATTTTGGAAGTGATAATCAACCTGCTTTGATCCAGCTGTCCTCGGTTTTTTTTTTCCGGACTTGTACCGCAATTACTGTATTCAATAAGTAATAAATCGTATAAAGAAAAAAGACAATAGGAAAATTATATGCAGTTTTAGCGGACGCGTTTCTGCCACTGCGGACTTTTCAAGCCAAAAAACGAAATGAATTTATTTGAACAAAGTATGTATAAACAAAAAACAAAATGTTGTTTCGTCACCTTCTCACACATGTGTTTGTGCATGTGTTTATGTGTGTGCATGTGAGTTTATGTTTGTGTGAGCGTGTCTTCTTACAAATATACCTGAGATATTAAAACCGAATATTTAATCGAATCAGTAATCAGATACGATACGATGGCATAAATATATTAAATCCATATTATGTAATTAACAGATCTTCTCACCTCAATTGCTATAATGTTTTTTTAAGCGTACAGCGCCAAAACCAATATAAATTAATATAAATGATCATGTTTACAAATAATGACATGAAGTGACGACGGCTGACGCCTTCAGTCAGCCCACCTACAACTCTTGTATAGGGTGACCCAAAAATGGGGAACTTTTTAACAATCCAATAAAACCAAGAGTGATAGAAGAAAAATATTTTATTCATAGTAATTGAAACCTTAAAATATGCCATTTAAGAAACAATGATGGAATTTTCATTTTTTAAAAATGACGTCCTGTAGATGGCATCCTCCTGTACGAATTCATTCTTGAAATCTGCTGTTGAGATTCCTCATTGAATGCTGCAACATCTCAGCTGGGATACTGTGAATTTCATCTTGAATTCTAAATGGCGAAATGTTTACTTGCTCAAGGTCACTGTCTCGCAGTGTTGCCACTTGCTCATGTCTGGCAATACGCACTTCAAAAATTCCCGTTTTTTGGGGTCACCCTGTATTACGTAAAAAGTTTCAAGAGATATAACATCATATACAGCAGGGCGTTATAAGCTATCTATGCAATCGTGTGCATAAAAGTGTATAAACCTGCGCCAATGCCCAAGGTGCATTCCCATGGAGTCTGTTCAGTGATGCTGCTACAAACATTATTTTGAAAACTGTACATCTGTCTATCAGTAGATATTTTTTACTGTATATTATATCTACATTTCGACGCTTCATCTGAGTCATATATCCAGAGTGCTGCAACAATTTTATTTTCAAGATAGATAGATAGATAGATGGATAGATAGATAGACTGGAATACATAGATCAATAGATTCAGCGCAACTGACTACAATAGATAGATATATAGACTCTTCTGGAGAGTCTTCTTGTTTAAGTTGGCGAATGCTACCATAATCCTTGCCTTCAGTTCATCTTTGGTGTTACAAGGAGTTTTCTTGCTCTTTCATTTAACTGTGGCCTACACTTAATAATCAAGGGGATTGCAATCTGGGAAGTTAGGTGGCCATGTAAGAGGTGATGTGGTCAGAGAAATTGTCTTACAGCCATTACTGGGTTCTCCTGCTTTGTGTGGCATGATGCAGAGTCCTGTTACCAGAAACAGCAGCCACCATCTTGATCCAGGGCAAGACTCCCTCCTCAAGGCTCTTGATGTAGGCCTCCATGTTGAGTCTGAGGCCTTGTGGGAAGATGAATAGAAGCATGATGTGGCCATCACTAGTGATCACTCCAAACATCTTTGTAATCACCATTAGACCCATTCAACTTTTTTCATATCCCGTACACTGTCCTCAGATTGACGTGCAAGCACTCTGAAATGTTCGTATTTGAGCTTCGGGCGCGAATGCCACGCAATACAGCGTGTCGTTTCGGGCGTAGTCAATTGCGTCATGGTGCTCTTTTTCTCACAGTCAGTGCCCAACTGACCCTACTATATTGTGCAGGAGGCAAAAAAAAAAAAATAACAGCACGCATGCGCGAAAGTAAAAATATAAAATGGCAACAATTTACCCATCGTGCCCTGTAGATAGATCTCAACAGACTGAAAAAGATAATAAAAACAAACAACGCGTATGTGCGAAATTGAAAATATAAAATGGTGACAATTACCCATCACGCCCTCTAGATAGATCTCAACAGACTGAAATAGATAGATAGATAGATTACAGGATAAAACGGCTAGATAGATAAACAAAAGAAAAAAGATGAAGTATTGTAATTATTTACATTCGGGCTGTTGTCATATTCACGACGTTTCGAAACTCAAGTTTTTGTTCAACGACGCCGTGGCGAGGTATTGAACTCACAACTCTTTGAGCCAAATCACTGGATTAATTCAACGAACGCTTTTATCCACCGGGCTATTGAATTACTAAAGTGGATTAACTGATACTGAGATATCAGAAAAAAAAGGCGTGGCACATGGAACTAAAACAATCTACCACCGTGGTCAAAATAAAGGGTTCTGTTCGAAATTCCAATGTATATCATCTGAAGAAGGCCGGGACGTAGAACGGCCGAAATGTCGTGAATATGACAATAAAGATGAGGACATGTGTTTGAACAATGTAAATAGTGTAAATATGGAAGTCCTTACATTGTGTCTAGTGAAATATAAAATGTTTCATTGATGACGAGCTTCTAAAACATGGAAGGATTATACGTTTATTGCCAGCAAATGGATAGGGCAATTGCGTTGAAAGTGTCCTACTTTGGTAGCTATATAAAGTGTTATTCAATACAAGGACAGTGTCTGAAAAATAATGAAAATAAAAAATTTGCTACTTCAACATTCAGAACGCACAGCAAATTTAGCAACGATAAATTTTCACTTGTTCCGAGGAATAGAACATTTCGTAAGTGAGAGAACATTCAAAAACAAAGAAGAAAACAGCTTTTAAATATAGAAGAAAAGCCAGATTTCTTCAAATATATTCCGTTTCGAATTAATCCCCACTGGTCTTTTGAACAGGAGTAGAAGGTTTATCCCTTGTTTCCTGTTTAGAATTGGGTTTTCGGTCCCAGTTTAAGCCGACTTCAACTCTATACTTATAAAGTCAAAACGCGCATGTGCGAAATTAAAAATATAAAATGGCGACAATTTACTCATCACGCCCTGTAGATAGATCTCAACAGACTGAAATAGATAGATAGATAGATAGATAGATAGATAGATAGATAGATAGATAGATAGATAGATTACAGGATAAAACGGCTAGATAGATAAACAAAAGAAAAAAGATGAGGTATTGTAATTATTTACATTCTTCTTCTAGAACATTTCGTAAGTGACAGAACATTCAAAAACAAAGAAGAAAACAGCTTTTAAATATAGAAGAAAAGCCAGATTTCTTCAAATATATTCCGTTTCGAATTAATCCCAACTGATCTTTTGAACAGGAGGAGAAGGTTTATCCCTTGTTTCCTGTTTAGAATTGGGTTTTCGGTCCCAGTTTAAGCCGACTTCAACTCTATACTGAACTCCTGAAATTTTATTTACTATTCTTTTAGAAGTAGATAGATTCACCAATTGTCTGGTTCACCTATTGTCCGGTTCACACTCCTCCCTGGGTTTTTGAACTGATGTATAGTTTCATCACTTTTTTTGCAGGTTTAGGATTGGGTTTCCGGTTCCTTCTTAAGCCTACTTCAACTCTATACTTATAAAGTCACCGCCTGAACTTCTGAAATTTTATTTACTATTTCTTTTCTTAGAAGTAAATAGGGTCATCAATTGCCCGGTTCACACTCCTCCGTGGTTTTGGGAACAGATGTATAGTTTCATCTGTTGTTTCCTGTTTAAGATTGGGTTTCCGGTTCCTTCTAAAGATTGTTGTATTCTATTTCATTCCCAGTAGCCCTCTTACATCTTAGGGGCATTATCGCCTTTCTTGGGGTGAATTGTTTAAGATAAAATGAGGAAGCTAAATTATACTTTCCGTTGGGTTGCAGCCGTTCAAATTAAAGCTGATTATACTTTTGATATAAAATACACTGTTTACATTGTTCGGACTATCGACCTCATTTTTGTTGCCATATTTATCACGACGTTTCGGCCTTCTTCAGGTGGTTGGAATGTCCAACTGAACACTTTATTTCGCTCGCTGGGGTAGATAGTTCTAGTTCCACGTGCCATGTCAAATGGATCTCAGTTATCAGTTATCTCCTGTTAATTCCCCGCTCCAAGTTCTTCCCCACCTTGATCAGGTATTGAACTCACACCCTTTGGATCTTGTCACTGGATTTAACTAACGCCTTGTGGACAACTGTGTATGAATTTCTGAGATTTATAAACCTAACGTCTTTAGCAACCATTTTTACCAGTGCTCATATTGTAATTTTTGCTGTTATCATTGCATTTTTTTACCAGAGCTTATATTGCAATTTTCGCTGTTATTATGGCATTTCTCTGGCACTTCTTATTACTGGTTCCAATATTGTGTTCATTTCTATGTTTGGTCGGCTCATGAGATTTTTGTGGCCTAGCATATAGACTGATATAAAATTGATTTTTGATATAAAATATCTAAATTTCTTCTTTTCGAAAACCCTAACTCACAAACACACATATATAATTAAGTAATTCATCGAGTCTAAAAGAATCCTCAACAGAAAGCACGCTTCGACCTATTTTGGGATTCATCAGCAGTGCGCATCAACTACCGAGAATCGAACTCGGACCGTTACCATATGACGCAGGCGCCGTACTCACTAGACCAACGGGTCTCGGCGACGAAGGGGTAACAAACTACACTCGATATAGCGCCAGCTCTTCAAAAATTCTGTCGTGTGACTTATCCAAGTCTATTTATGCAAATGGACCCCATGAGTTACGTCTTCTATCCCTGCTGCAATATATATATATATATATATATATATATATATATATATATATATATATATTATTTATTTAAAATATGATTCCAAAACGCTACATAAGAAGTTCATGTTTCAAAGCTAGAGCCGAAAACTTCAATATAATTATTTAAATTAAATTGAGTTAAAATAAGCTCTGTTCCATCTTCAAGCGAAATTTTTTTTTTAAATTTCGCTTGAAGATGGAACAGAGCTTATTTTAACTCAATTTAATTTATATTGAAGTTTTCGGCTCTAGTTTTGAAACATGAGACTTCTTATGTCGCGAGTTGGAATCATATTTTTAAATTAATAATTATATTTATGCTCTACTTTTGTATCGAGCACTATTTTTAAAAAATAATAACTAAAATACTAAGGGAATTTGGATTATTTACCTAACCAGTTCCTTCCTATTTTCTATATATTTTAATATATATATATATATATATATATATATATATATATATATATATATTATAAGAGATTAGAACAAAAACATGTTGAAATCGCTACTCAATAGCTTTCGTTTTTCGGTAAAGTTCTGCCTCTTCAGGCGATGGTAATTAAAAGATTTTCAGATAATTTCAAAAGCAAAGTCTTACTTCTTTTTCGAAAAATTTGAGAAAAAAAAACATGATCATAATTAAAAATACATAGTCTTAATCAATTACGTGCCAGATCTACACTAAATAGAAAATCTACACTAAATAGAAAATCTACACTAAATAGAAAATTCAACTCAGAGGGTGGAGGTGGGGGAGTTATATTTTATGACATGATAAACCTGAACTTAGATAGTTCATTGACAATTGCGAAAAACATATAAGCAATAAATGTATCATGATTGTTGACAAATATGACGTTATATATATATATATATATATATATATATATATATATATATATATATAGTGATAAATATATACATACATATGCAATCATATATCTAAAATATATAAATATATATTCATACATACATACACATACATATATATATATATATATATGCATAAAAAATAATTCAAGAGGATAGAATCCAGGTTGAACTGAATGTCTAGGACAGAGTAAGGATATTAGCCTTTTTTTATATATATATATATATATATATATATATATATATATATATATATATATATGATATAATAGGCTCAAACACTATTCTTACTCTGTCCTGGACATTGACTTCTACCTTTGATTTATCTTCTTGGGGAATTTATATATATATATATATATATATATATATATATATATATATATATGTATGTGTGTGTGTCTTGGTGACTTTAATGCTCACCACGACACGTGTCTGAAACATTCTAAACATAGTGATCTTGCCCGTATTCAGTCATTGAAATTTTCCATTGCTCAATCCCTCGCACAAATTGTGGACTTCCTTAGTCGTTTCCCTGGCCAAACCGAGCAACAGGCTTCTCTACAGGATCTATTTCTCCTCTCCTCGCTTCTGCCGAGCTTCGCAATGCTGCCCACATGGTAACTCGGACAACCCTGTGGTAGCTATCGATATCGCCTTCAAAACATCCATCAAACAGGAACCACCTATCTATAAGACCACATGTTGATTGGGACTCAACGCCCCTATGGACTGACGCCCCTTGGACTGACGCCCCTTGGACTAACGCCCCTTGGACTGACATCTTCAACCTCCCAATTGAACATTGCGACACTGGGGTTTCTGCTTCTGTCAGAGCCGGCATAGACGCTTTCATCTCTTCTCAGAAATACTAGGTGAAACTGAAATTGTCTCCATGTTTCACACCAGCATGCTCGGCCGCCATAGTACCCATGGATCACTATTTCCGGCTATACCAGCGTGACAGCTCTCGTCATGGTCTCGTAACAAATGTAATTGAATCTCTGTTTGCTGACATAATGAGGAATCGCATAGCCTCTAAATAAGTGCAAGGTCTCTATCCCCCGTTCTTCAATCGATTTGATGTGTTATCATCCTCTGCTGATAAACCTGAATGCTTTGCCAGTAAATTCTCCTCAGACTCTACCTTTGACTCATCTGGAATATTCCTGCCTAGAATCCATTTAAAATCCCTGCCTAGCACCCATTCTCTGTTGAGTAATATGCATATAAACCCTTCCGTGGTTTCTGTCATCATCTCTAACCTGGATCCCCACAAAGCATGGTATCTGTGTGATAGTCATTAAGAAGTGTGCTCCCGAACTGGCTCCTGTTCTCTCTAAACTGTATAATAAATTCCTCACTGCCAAGACATCGTCTGTTGTTCCAGTTTTTAAGAACTCTAGTGAACCGGCCGACCCATCCAACTATCGGCTTTTTAGCCTTCTGCCTCTTTTTAGGAAATTCCTAGAGGCCCTAATCAATGCTGAATTCGTTCATCATCTCCAATCGCAGGGACTTTTATGAGACAAGCAATATGGCTTTCGTTTTTCAAGCTCTACTGCTGATGTGCTAACGATAATTGTGGAAAGAGTCTGTCATGCTCTAGATAAAAACGATAAAGCCCTGGACATCTGGAAAGCCTTTGACAGGGCCTGGCATTCAGATCTTTTCCACAAGCTGAAAAGGTATCTCCGGGCAGGTTTTTTTGAGTTGATCCAGTCGTACCTTTCGTACTAAAGCGGCTGCCCCCCACTCCCCA